GAATAAAACTCGTCTGCAAGCAATTTTCTGAAAAGTTATAAATCTCCAAATTGGGTCTATTTTTAGCTGTTTGTTTACATTCGCGTGTTTGCTGATCAGCGACACTAGTAATTGAAGAGTTAAAAATAAGCTGATTTATTACCCATGAGTAAACTTTTTTAGCTTGTTCAAAAGAATATATACAATTTTGTGAAAATATAATTACAATATATACAAGCGATCGTGTACAGAACATTCTTGAATTCGAATTGCTTTACATTTATACTTAACTTACACTTGCACTAATTATACACTTTCAATATACACATACAGTAGTACAGTTACAACGAGTAGTACAGTGTCTACGACCCTGATATCTTTTAATGTTATTAAATAATATATTGGTAATATAATAAGAACTTCGTCAATACATTGACACAATACCATAATCTCCTGATTATGACCTTGATCTGCCGCTCCCACGGCGGGAGGTGCATGTCTGAACGACCAATGTGAGTAGAAAACTTACATAAGTGTCTCTGTGCGATGTTCAGGTCATGAAATAGTGCTACAGGTAATATCGGTTTAATGCACTTTGCAGAAACTCCCATGATTTTGATGTCGCTCAATATGATAATCAGAATCCTGTTTAGTCGAAGGGTTGCTATTTTTATGAAAATGCGTGTACTGACCCAAGTCTAGCTCGATTAGACAAATTTGGGTAACGTTTGTTTATACCCAATTCACAACTTTATATATAACACATATGCCTAGTTACTATGGTTCTAGATTACAAAAGCATAAAATAGAACAAAGGTAACTAACTCTTATTGTTATATAATCTTATAACTCTTATTGTTAGTTAGTGTCAAAGTTCAATTTTTCTATTTGCCGATTGTCAAAACCGTGTCACGTGCCGGTCCACAAAAGCTCATGTTCGGCAACCGGTTAACCTGAAGTTCAGGCCCTAATTCAAATTAGGGCCTGAACTTCAGGTTAGCAACCGGTCCGCAATGAAACATTTATTGACCAGTCAATAATAAAATGGGTGCAATACGCATGCGTGTCAACCGCGAAGTTTCAAAGTTCATTTTTTAAACTTTTTATTTATGGCGTTCCATTTATCCAGTTTTGGTTTCAAATTAAGTTCACTCCAATAATCGGTGAATTATTCATACTTTAACACTTATATACTATCTATAAGTGGCTCTGGTCCACAAAATACACTGTTTCCCTCGATTTCAGTAAATATAAAGTGATAATACATAAGTTTAATGTTTAGTTACTTTTGTTCTATTCAGTCTATGCTTCTGTAAACTAGAATAATAGTAGCTAGGCATGTGAGTTATCCAAAGCTGTGAATTGGGTAGCAACGATGTAAACAACGTTAGCCAAATTTGTCTACTGGCTTCATTTTTATAGCTCTAAATTTCGTGTCGTCGTGAGCGGTGAGCGTACCAGTCACGTGGCAGATTCGTAAAATACGACAAATACCGAGTTTTTCCGACGAGCATTTTCATGCCGGGTTTTCGTCGGGGAAACGCAAAGGAATATTGATTATTCGCCGAAAATTTACATAATTGAGCGCTTCAGAAAAATAAGTCGAGGTAGGTAAAGCTTTACTGTTTTTAGCTTACCTTATATTCTGTTATTTGCTGTGATTTTGGAGCCGTTGTGCTCGCACTGATAGTGATTATTTATCAATTATCAGGCGTTTGTATTTATATATCGTGAAAACCTCGAAGCCGCGAACGCTCTCAAAATACTCGATTTTTATATACTCAAACTGAAACGGAGCCATTGTGCTCGCACTGAGTATATTGTGTGCAAAGCTTCAAAACTATAGCACATTTTGTAAATAACATGATATATAAATATCAAACAAAATTTGAATTATAAATAGTATTTCATATACATACTATTGAAATTTAATACAACGAAATAGCAACCATTGTGAAGTACGCATAAGATTCAACATGACATTCAACATGACTTTCGATATAGTGTAAATTAACTCATTTCAATCACTCAAACGTCAAAATGATAAATAATCATTTTCAATCTATTATAGTAATTCACCGTTTTCACGGTTTTTTATACCTTTAAATAAAGCTAAATCTAAAGGAAATAACGTTATTTAGTTATAAATTTGATAAAACCTTGACCCACCTTGTTATTGTTATTATTACTGTCGCTTGCAACTAACTATTAACGGTTGCTCATAAAAATATTGCCTATATGCGTGTTTCTGCTGGGGTCTGCACTATAGGCTAATTCGCATGAGAATCTTAAAGGGGCCCCACAGTCATTTTTTAGTCAAGTAAGTATTGTTTACATTTTTTTTGTTATTGTCGCTACTTGACATGCGCATCACGGCATGTATGCATCTTCCGGTGTGCGGAAGTACTCATATTCATGGATACTGCATGTAAGATACAGCCAAACGAATCTCCGTGGAGTCCCCTATTTAAGGTGGCTTTTCGACTAAAAAATGACTGTAAGGCACCTTTAAGTTTCCTTATTTTGACATAACAGTTATTTTTCAATAAATATATTGATATTTTAAACTTAATTGAATCGATATTTTAAGTTTCACGCCAGTTGTATCTAATTAAGATTTATATAAGCGCTATAGCGCTTCATAAGTTTCAGGTGGCATGCAACATGTACGCACTGCGTACCTATTTTTATATAAGTCTATCCACTGATCTCATATTGACAGGATAAACCCAATTGAAAACGAAACTGATCTAATAACAGACTGGATAGTCATGTTTGTCAGCTGTTCCTGGGTAGGTAAAAGTGCCCTGCTCTGGCAAATATAAATTCACTCTCCTTGATGGTAAGCCTCGTGAGGTGACAACTGCTGGGGTGAGTACAAATGTCTGCATTACACTCCCCAATTTGTGCAACTTTCTGTATTCCACGGCTTTTTCCACATGCAAAATTCCCCAGGCCAGCAAAAGAACAGTTCTTTTCCATGACTCAAGCATGTACAAAGTAAAAATAGGAGCTGCTATCAAAAATAACTGGCAAGCTAGTGTTGCAGTTCAGCATGAGCTCCACCTTTGAATTTACTATATGAGTAAATTCTTAAACACGTCCGAAATTATCATTATGATAAATTCGCACAACATTTTGAATTTATCATAATAATAAATTCGCGGCACGTACTACCCCAAACCACTAATCCCCTAACTCCTAACCGGTAATCCCTAACTCCTAACCCTAACTTTTTTAACCGTTTTAAATTTTTTTAACTTTTTTAAAAATCTAACTTTTTAAACTTTTTTGCTTTTTAAAACTCTTTTAAAACTTTTTTAAAAACTATTTTTTTGAAAATCTCTGTCTCTTACTGCAGTATTTCTGTTATTGTAGCGGTTAACAGATTATAGGGAAATACGACGACATAAGTTAAATTTCAAAACTTTATGTGTTCATATGCAGTGAATCAAACGAAAAATGCAACCTTTGTTACAATTATTTAAAATATTACAAAAATAAAAAACAACTAAACTTTATCGCCATATTTCTCCATAATTCGGCAACCGCTACAATAATGCAAAAGTCAAAACAAAATAGTAAATGACAACAGACTACAAAAGCGGAAGTGGGAAGGTTGTAGTATTTTGACTGCAATTATGTACAAAAATATGTTGCATCCATGCTGCAAGAATTAATGTCCGACCTTTCCGGCAAAATTTCCATTTACAGGGACAGAAAAAGATTACGAGACGAGTTGAATAAAAAAGTTAAAGCACCGAACACTTTTTATATACAGCCAGAGATACTGACAGCTTTGAAATTTGCTACAACCACAGAAAGTACTGCCCGATTATACCTTAAAAAGATATTTAACAGTTGTGAAATTATTCATGCGAATAAGCCAAGAATGGTTAAGGTTGTATTTTTAATGTTTTTATGTTGTGAATTAGAACCTGGATAATAAACCAGCTTATTTAACTTTTTAATTATTACTAGTGTCGCTGATCAGCGAACACGCGAATGTAAACAAACAGCTAAAAATAGACCCAATTTGGAGATTTATAACTTTTCAGAAAATTGCTTGCAGACGAGTTTTATTCCTGATTACTTAACTTTAGTAGGTATACTTTCAAATTACATGCCTTTTGAACTTCAGATAAGTGCCACTTTTGAGCTATTTTAAGTAAAATATGAGCAATTTTCAGCCTCTCGTCGCCATCTTGAAAACATAGTTTCGTAAAACTATAACAAATTCGTATTAAGCAAATAAATTTGTTCAATCTCCATGTAAACGAGAGTATTAGTGTTAATCTTGCATGTGAACAGTAACTGGAGGGGATAAACGCATCACAACGTTTTTAAAAAATCAGATGAATTCTTGTAAAATTCCCCTTCATTTCCGGTCTGAAAATATTCTCGCAAGGTCAAATTTCAACATGGCTATAACTCCTATAAAACAGAAAGTTGAAACGTTCTGAAAGAAGCTTGATTAATATTGACCAATGTCTAGTTCATATGCAAAATATGAGCTAAATCTATTTTCCCTTCCCCAAACCAGTGGGTGGATTTTACTGAGAGGCCCTCTTAAGGAACTACAGGAACTTCTTCAAACCAAAACCTGGTTTCAATGAAGCAAATGTTACCCAATTACGAGAACGAACCAACCAACTGTTTGATGTGCAGAAGTATGTTGTATTTTCATTTGACGAGATGAAAATTCAGTCAAATTTAGTTTTTGACAAACACAGCAATGAACTCGTCGGTTTCGTTGATCTTGGTGATGATCTTGGTGGCAGCTCTTGACTCACCTACTACCATTGCAAGTCATGTTTTGGCATTCATGGTCAGGGGTGTAGCAAGTGACCTGAAATATATCCTTGGATATTTCAGCACTGAGAATGTTACAGTTTACCAATTAATGCCATTGTTTTGGAAAGCTGTTTCCATTCTTGAGTTAGGGTGCAATTTATGGGTACGTGCTGCTGTCAGTGATGGTGCTTCGCCGAATACGAAGTTCTATGAGCTACATGCTGGGCTTGTTGGGGAAGAGTACAAGGTTGATTTTGTATATCGAACAGTCGATCTCTTTGCTCCAACACGATTCATTTACTTCTTCTCTGATGCTCCCCACTTACTCAAGACAGTAAGGTACTGCCTTTTCAATTCGGGTACAGGGAAACATACAATACTAATGTGGAATGGTAACAATATGATATGGCATCATATAGCTGCGCTTTACTATGCTTATCCAGAACAGGACCTGCATCAGCTAAGCTAACAATTGACCACATAAATCTTACCTCATTTTCAAAAATGACGGTTCGTCTGGCTGCGCAAGTGATGAGCAACACGGTTGTTAGGGACCGGTCATTATTTATGGTGGGGGGTGGCACCGAAGAGAAAAGGGTTGGGTAAACTAAATTTTGAGTAAGTAAAAGGTTGGGTAAATGAAAAACAAAACAACTCCAGGGTTGGGTAATAAAAAATTATTGTCATTTCCAAAGCGTGACTCAAGCCCCGTTTACACTACGCTCAATTTTTGGTACGGCACGGATAAAATTGGTACCCGTACCACTTTTTTGGTTCTTGGACTGCCTATTTAGCTAAGCCCCGTTTACACTACGCTCAATTTTTCGTACCGTACCACTTTTTGGTTCTTGGACTACCTAAATAGGTAGTCCAAGAACCAAAAAAGTGGTACGGGTACCAATTTTATCCGTGCCGTACCAAAAATTGAGCGTAGTGTAAACGGGGCTTCACTGAAGTATTGGAGACTAAAAAGCAATGACAACAGTAGGCCCTACTCTGGGGCGATAACGAGATAATGCGAGTTTAAGCAATTTTAGGTGATTTAAGCAAAATCTGCAATATAAGCAATGCGAGTTTGAGCGATATAGGGTAATGTAAAAAAACAATTAAAATTTTAGGGAATGCTGTTTTAGGTGTTTAGAGGCAATTACAGGAATATATAACTATATCCCTGATGACTCCAATGGAATTACCATTCACCTATGCCAAGCATCCAAACATGAGTGTTCCCACAAACACACACACATGCAGTGTATGAAGCAAGATATGCAATTTAACAAAAAAAGTTGAAGTCTGCTTGAGGGAACACCGCGGAAAAACGTCTGCGCATGCGTCAACCTTACCTGTAATAGTATTGCGAACTTGATGAGAACTGTTCCGAACGTTTCCGAAGGCTCAAAATGGCGGTAAAAAGGAGTGACCTCATTGTGCGTCTTTACAGCCAGATTTCGAGCGCAAGAATAAACATGTCATTCTAAAAACTAGGAATAAATACAGCCAGAAGGTTCAAGAAATTGTATTGCACAAGAACATGAACTAAAGGTGATTGTTGACAAATTTATCGTCTGAAACATTTTGTTTATCAACTAAGCAACGACAATTTCCGAATTTTCGTTTGAGATACATTTCTTTAAAAAAAAACTGTCGTCAAATATAAAACATTTTCGTGTTCACAATAATTAAACTGTGGCTACCGTGTCTTCCGGGGACATTCATTTCCGGGAAAATTTATTTCCGGTCATGTGATAACAGAACACGAGATTTTATTGTTGTTTTAGAGGGGTTTTGGGCGATTAATATGGACGCCATAAGTTGATATTAAAACATTTATTAGTGCATGAAGAACCAAACGGTTCTTAACGTAAACAGTAAGTAAACAAGATGTAAGTAAAGTAAAGTAACATAAATATTCGAGTTTAAGCGTTGGATGTGTGTTTGAAAAACATGATATGCGAAAGACAGTGGCGTCCACTTTGACGAAGAGTCAAAGACAGTAACAGTTAAGAACCTTTTGGAATCTGCGTGTAATTGTGTTAACGACGATTGGTCTTCAGGAAGGAGATAATTACTGTTTGGATATTGTGTCATCCCGGATTTGGAAGAAGGTACCTTATTGTTTACAGACGAATTGGTCTGAAATTTGGTTGTATTTAATCGAGAAATACGGGAACCACGGTTTGGAATTGTGGGCTTATTGGCTATTGTATGTATTAAAACATTACATTGTGGATATATCACATATTTATAATATGTACCTGGTTTAAGAAAGTTGATCTTTGACTTTGTATTGAAATACGTTATTAATTTGGAATATTGATTAATATAACGAAGTAATTCGTGTTTACTTATTTGGTCTTCAAGGGAAGATATTTGCCAAGTTTGGATAATTGTGTTGCGTGTAGAAATATTTGTCTTGGGATAGACAATCAGTGATTCAGAATGTTTTCTTAGTGTATTCTGAAAGAAAAAAAAAGGTTTATTTGAAAATAGTACTGTATCATACGAGGATTACAGTTGCATATTGCATATTGGAATTGTTTGAGCCAAATATATATATGACATATATTGTAGACACTAAACTTGACATTTAAAAGGGTTTGGCATGTATTGAGAAGTGCTACTGAACTCTGTTAGTATGAGTCGTCAGAGTCGACAAGAAAATATGTCACTATTGGACGATATAAACACTACAGGGTGTATCAGAAAAAACGGAGTCGTCCTAAATATCCTTATTTCTATCGTAAAATAAACTACCATAGTTTCGTTTTGGGCTCAATTTAAAGCTTGTTTTTTCATCTTTCCAATGAAGGGCTTCTTGAAAATTTTGAACGAAGGCTAATCGCAATAAAAAGAATTTAGTACAAGCGCTCGCTTTTAGATGCTTCGAAATATTAATCTTCGAAGTCCCTTGGGGACTTAATTAAAGGTAGTTTGCTAAAATTTAGAACGTTGTTGTTTAAAACTTTACAATCACCATTCATAATGCCAAAGCGAACAATTCCGGAAAGAACATTCATTGTTGAAAAGTATTTCGAAACAAAAAGCGTTGTTGCAGTGTTAAGACAATTTCAAATAGCTTTTCCAGGACGTAATCTTCATCGAGCGTTTGGCGTAATGTCAACAAATACCGTCGACTGCATATGCATTGAATGGAAGAACCACCCCATAAAATTTAAATCGAAATAAAGGAAATTCGAGAAGACTTGTTTTGGATATGAGACAAAGAACGAACTTGTGCATGTATAAACTTAGAAATGGAGGCCACGTTGAGTAAATGTGTACTTCCAACTTATTTTTTGGAACGTTTAAATAAATTGTGAATTCAACACATCTACGTTTTATAAATTTCCAATTGCACTTACTTAAATTGACACAACTCGCCAGCAATAACTCCAAATTTTATAAAATAAAGTACATAAAATAGCCGAAAGATCGCCATTTCGAACGAATGCAAGTATAAATGTCTAACTTTCATATTCGCTTTGAAATTTACACTTTATGTGAGGACTCCGTTTTTATTGATACACCCTGTATATTTAAGTCGAGGTTGGAATATATTAACAGTCTTTTGAGATTACAAGAAGACATTCAAGGACTTATTGATGCAGGGCCTGGGAATGTTGGCCAGGTTATGTCGAAGAAAGATGTTTATGATAAAACGTTGTGTGAATTTGTAACTGTTCATGAGGAATATTTAGAAATTGTCACAGCTGAGGATGAAAAAAGAAGAGCCAGTTTGACATACAAAGAACAGATGGCAAAAAAGGTACAATTGGACGGAGTAGTAGCATCTTGGTGTAAAAAGCCAAGGTTGTATGGATCTGGTAAAGGTCGAAGCCAGATTAGTAGTTTAACAAGTGGAACAAGTTCAGCATCAGCCTTGTCAAAGAAAAAGGAAAAGATGGCTCTCGCACAGTTAAAAGTAAATCAGTTAATGCAACGACATGAAATGAAGAGGAGGATGGAAGAGTTGAGATATCAAGAAGAACTAATGGAAGCTCAAATGGAAGAAGAACAAGCAAAGGTTAGCTTTAATATTTACAATGAATTAGCTAATAAACATATTGGAGAGTATGACAATAATATGCCAGGTTTTAATGGTAATGAAGTACAAGGGGAATCTGATTTGAGCCCTCTGACCGAGACCAATGCTTATGAATTGGAAAGTGAATTTTATACTCGCTATCCCCCTGACCTTCCTTCAATTCATGAGTTGTCGAGAACAACACAACATTTGGAGCAACATGAAGTATATAGACCGATAGTATTGGAGGCCGAAAGTGTAGACTGGGACTATGCAACACT